ATAAGCTGGAATAGCAATGATCCTTGTAGGCAGGAAGCCATTGAAGGAATAGTTTGCAGATCCAGGAGCTTGAAGGTCACTCTGTTCTAAGAAGATAAACCAGAAATCAAAACTAAGGTAAAACTATTAGTTTTGTTAAATTTAGAAAGAATTTTCCTAAGATCTTAAAAGAATCGTAGAGATTATTCATATTGATGTTTGTTATAATGCATGTTTTATTATCAGTTAATGATTAAAATGTCAGGATATACTATAAAAGGATTAGATAATTTGTTAGACAGAATGTTAGAAAAAATAAAAAATAGCATAAATCAAAAAGAAAATATGGACATATTATCCGAAGAATATGAGAAACTAAAAAGAAGAATATGATAGATATGTTACAGATTACTCTATTTTGTTAGATCATAGAGTGGAACTGTATATTATAATTAGAAATAGAAGAAACATAAGATAAAGACTAATGTTTAAACTTATGAAAAAAGAAGGATATATTATGCAATTTATAAGAGTTTATATCATTAAAGGTAATATAGACTTTTCTATAAAAAAAAACTCAAAAGATTTAGTCAAATTGAAAAATCTCCCACTAACATGACCTTAGACGATATTTCTTCTAGAATATCTTGTACCCTACTTAAGATGACTCGATTGCTATCTAGCCAAATAGAAGAGTCTTTGAAACATTTGAACTTAGAAAACTCGATTAAGGTGTTTTTTTTTTCGGTTTTGCTATGGGTACATCAGGGTGTACAGCGGGGTGTACACCCCCCTCGCATGAGGATGGGTCCCGCTAAAATAAAAAAATATTTTACATCGTGGGGTCCACTCCCATGTGAGGGGGGTGTACACCTTTATGTATGGATCTTGATGTACAAGTAGAATTATTGTTTTTTTTTTTTTTACTAGAAGAAGTTTTTAAATAGGTAACTCAACACCGACACGTGTTTTAAAAAGATCAAGAGAGACATTAATTAGAGGTAGTGTGAAATATAGTCATTACTACCTCCAACTAACATAAAAAGAAGTGCTACACAGATAAATTTACACAATGAAAATGATAATTACTATTTGCCTCAAATTCCCTTTTGAAATTATAAACAAAGTGAGCCCAAGAATCTTGAAATTGTCCACTTTTCCATCATTGTTTCACAAGTAATGGAATGATCATTCATTTACTATCACAACTCAACAAGAATCCCACGTGAAAACGCATTACATATAGTTTGGAGAATCCCCCATCAACAAAGTTGAAATCATTACTTCCTTACTTTCATATCTCCAAATTTATTTTATTTATTTTTATTTTTTTGTGGGTGCAGTCGAGGAAAACGTTTTTTTAATTGTGTCTATTGTACTAACGAGTAGTATTCGACAATACGTGTCTAGCTCCGGCTTCGTAGGATTAAAATTTAAATTTTAATTTAAATCAAAGTCAACAATTAATTTTAATCACATATTCACAATTTTTTAACCACGCATTTAATCAATTTTAATCAAAATTTATTGAAAATTTGATTTTAATCTTTACCGAACGTTGGCTTAGTGTAAATCAGACAACTAAAATAGGCTTATAAAAAGTTGTCTTGCTGCAAAATTCTAACCATACACCTGCACGAAAAAGTCTTTTTCTTTTTTGTAGATTGTCGTACGGGCAGGAAGCAACATTCCATTTTTACTTTATTAATTTCTAATCACATAATTGTCTTCACCTAATTCTGTACGAATAAAGCTTTATTTGACATTAATTTACTGGGAAAATTTCAACCATAAAGTTAATGTGTGGTTGATTGTTAATTTTGTTGTTGATGATACTTTGACGACAAGTAAATCTTCGTTGTTTAAAACAGAACACAGACATCTGGTAAAACTACTTGAATGCGTGAAAGTTATTTCTTGACAACCTTTTATGATGACAAATGAGTTCTTGTCTCGTCAACGATGAAATATCAGCTTTTGTTGTCGTAAAAAAATCAGTATTGTGTAGTTAATTATGAACTTTGGAGAATCACTATGAACTTGTGTTGATGAATGGGATAAATGATTAGAAGAATCTACTCTTTTTGAGTAGGAAATTTTGCTTTTTGTTGAAGCTATCATTGATCTAATATGTTATTGTTGTTTCTTACCTTAAGATGGTAATGTTACTTTTCGATTCCCATTCCCTTTCCCTTTCCTTTGAGATTTAAACACTTGATACAATACATATTTGATGAGATGTGTCGAGATTATTGACTTGACTAATCACTTAATTCTTTCCTACGTCTCACCACGAGATAAGATGTGTAGTTGAGTTGTTGTGGTGGAAGAGATAGAGCATAGTATTATCGCGGGCCAAAGTGCCCATCTTGGTAGGTTATTTGTGATTTAAAGCACATAAGAATCTACTACGAGAATAAGAAACATGTTAAGCGTTATGATCTAATTTGTAGGAATTTAGTTATTTGGAATTGGGCTTTTCAGTAGATGAAATGAACTATGAAAGAATTCATGACGCGAATAAGTCTTAATTTGTCATCATCCCCGACAAAATTTAATAAGGTAGCAAGAAAAACATAAGAATATAATCAACTCTTCAATTATGCCACTTTGCCAGAAAGATTTAACGATATAGCATAATTCTCAACTTTTTTCTATCAAAATTTTTCTGGCACTGTAGCATAATTCTCAACTCTTTCCTTCTCTCTTTTTCTATCTATCTATGAGAGCACATGTCAAGAAGCTTCTTCCTCCCTTCAACTATTTCATCAAACAAGTCATCAAGTTGCCCAATTATGCTCTCACTCCCACATTTCAGCATTGCAAAGCAACTCTTCAAGTTCTCAACCTTGTCATGAACATTATCAAATTCTGATTCCTCGTGCTCAACAACCCTCCCCACATCCACTTTCATCTCATCCATTTCAAATCTCGCCCTTCGAAACTCGTATGCAAGAATTCCCGCCTGTCCTCCCGTATGATTTATGGCCGCAGACGCCACTTTTTGAAGCAATGTTGCAGTTGAAACCATGACGGCTGAACTGAATTCGAGGTTTCCTTCATAGTCCCAATGGCAAAAACTTGTTTCCGGCCAATAGTATACGAGGCCGCTGAGTAAGATCACCAGAAGAACCGAGTTTATGTTCCTCATCGCGTAAAGGACTCCTCTAAAGCCATTAAACTTGTTGAACTTTGATTCTATCGAGGCATTGTCCTCGAATCTCAGAGATAGAGTTTGCATTCTCGTTTCTAGTAAGCTCTTGTTTTCCTCCTCCAGTGCCAATATTTCCCTTTGGCCCCCATAGATTGCCCGAATAACCTGTCAGACAACCAGAAGTTCGGAACATAGTTTAATGATCTCTACATATTTAGTACGCAATACTAAGCAACGATGGACGATAATCTTGTCTACAATATCCAACATGCCTTGAGGGTTTTGAAAGAGAAAATTGATGAAGACAAACTATATACCCTAGATGTGTCTGGTAGACAGTACTAGAAATGACCCGCTATATTAGTGTCCAGTATGTCTTGTAATACTAACCTGGCCGGAAAGTTGAACATTGAAAACCTGATGATGATCAATCAAAGAAGCTATATTAATGCCAGCTGAGTAGAAATTCTCCATGGCCGATACCCTGGATTTTAGCACGTGACAGGCTTCCCAGAGTCTCGAGCTTTCATCCATGTATTCATCGAGCCATTTTTCTCCAACAGGCAACTTTAATCTCTGAACCAAAACTGTTAACTGGAAATGAAAAGACCGAAGGGTTGATAGAACATGTTGAAGAAAATTGATTGACATGAAATTCTCAGAAATGAACAAACTGTCAAGATTATCAACTTCTTTAGTGAGGAAGTTGTAGAAGCCACCGACTGAGTTAGCAGTAGATGAAGAATGACTCATCATGGGAGGTAAGAAAAGGATTGATACGTTACTAGGAAAAGGTGGTGGTGGTGGTGTGGGTGTGTGTGTGTATATATATTTTTTTATGACAGTTTGATGGGAAAATTGCAGATGACTCCTCAATCTTTACGCTCTTTTGTGATTTTTTCTCTAACTTTATTTCTTGGCAATATTGTTTCCAACCTTTTTTATTGGTGCATTTGCCTCCAATGATGGAGACCGTCCAAAAGTCCATTAAGTAAAAGAACACGCACATGTCTTCTTCACCCACCCCCTCAACGCCATTGCGTAAAGCAAATTGCTGGAAAGAATGAAAGACGAGAATGGTTTGATGGTGACGGAAAAGGAGGATGGAGTTTGAAATAAACTTTACCATTTGACATACTCGCTCAATTTGCAAAACTCTGGCTAAAGATTGGAGACGATTGCTACATTTTTTGCTATAGCCCCTATTTGGCCTCCATTAAAATCAAATTCTGAAGGAAAACGTGTTTTGAAATATTAATTTTTGGAAGAATGTTTGATTAAAAAATAAGAAAAATGTTGGGTTTATGTGTAAAATTATTTTATGGGAGAACGTGTGGTTCAAAATATTTTTTTAAAAAAATGGACGCCAAACATATGCATAGTATATTTAACACATATTTTTTGTTTCAATAATTATTTATAATCCTATAGATAAGGCTGCAGTTCATATTAGTAAAAAAATACAACTTCTTGTCTTTCTTGTTGTCTCTACTATATTACAAGGTAAATATATGTTTCATTAAATTCCATGGAAGAGAATATATCAGAGCTTGGATTTCTAGAAGATGGCTTATTTGTTGGGAGCAATTATGTGTGTGCCCTACACAGTGGAGGGGATGATTGAGATTCTATATATATTTGAATTATTTAACAAGCAAGAGGGAGATGATTTTGAAAACTTAGGGTTTAACCTGTTTGTTAGAGATTTTAATTTAAATTAAATTTAACGATTAATTTTATCGACACATTTTAAAGGATCAACAACTTTTCAATCATATATTCCATCAATTTTTATTAAAATTTACGAAAAATATAATTTTAATCCCAACGAAATAGGGGCTATAGTTTCATTACGTTCGAAGAGTGCTCCCTTTCCTTCCATATGTTAGGTAAGACTTTCTTAATTAGAATTGCTCTCCTAGCTTTAGTGGTTGTGATTGATCTATTTGTTCGAAATTATTTGTTTGTATACCATATGGAAAATGGGAAGCAGTCTAATCTTTCTTAGCCCCTGATTGATGGTCATTATTTGATCAAAAAAATGTTTTGAATGGTTAAAAAATAGAAAAAAAATTCTGAATTTACGTGCATAATATTTTATTGCGTGAATATGATTGAAAATGAGTACGTAAAAAAGAGGTTTTAAGTAATGGTTATTAGATAGGGGCAAAATTAAGTATTTGTTTATTTGTATGAAATTATGTTAATTTTCAGGATTTTTTTTCTTTTTTTTGGGCTGTAAAAGTTTGACTACTTTGACCAAGATTCTTTTTCCCATTCTTCAATATTGATTTGGTACCCTAGTCATCGAGTGCTGTTTGGCTTCTTTACCTTTTTTCTAGCTTTATGGTGACATTAAAAATTATAATACTACTTTAGTTTGGTTATTTAAGGGAAGTAAATGATGAACTTTTTTGTGTTCATATTATTTTATTGAGACGCTTTATTCTTTTCAAGTCTATTTTTGGGCATCAAATCGACTTTTCTTGAATATTTAAAATGAGGAAGATAATGGTTTTATTATACATCCAACACAAAATGACTTAGTATGTCCTACGGATAGGTACGATGGATGTGACATTAATTGAGTAATACATGTTTTATTTTATTGAGAGAGTATGTACATAGTGTAAGGAAATCTAAGTATAATATGTACGAGAAGATAATTGTTGACCTTTTTTTGTAAGGGTGATGTGGACAATGGATGTCGGGCTCACTCTTGTCCACGCAAACAAATTCCAAAACGTTTCGATCGAAGACTTGGACGGAAAATGATGATATTTATGAACGTGTGAGATACTCTATGATGCGAGACAAAAATGTTCGGACACAACAATATGAGCAAAGATGATTGCATAAATAAACAATCATAAAAAACTCAACCAAAAAAAAAATAATCTAAACTCAAGCAAACAAGTATGAAATAAGCAAGAGAGAAGATCAGGTGTGGTTTTAAATATAAAGAGTTGTATTAGATACAAATGTTACAAGAATTGTTATTCATAGAATTCTGGCCGAAATGGTAACCGTTGGATAAGAACCATGTGAACTCATTTTCCAAGTCGAAGCCTCACATCGCTAGCCCGCTACCCATTACAAACGTTATATCAACAATTCCTATAAATTACATGTGGATCCTTTGAAAGTCGCAAGGGCTTCGGCCAAATGGAGCTTTGGAGTGGAGGTCCTCGACATGAAGAGCTTCGAGATAAAGAGCTTTAGTTCTTTTTTGATTTCTTTACTTTGACCAATTGGGGTCTTGCTGCCTTTGTCAACTTTGACTCAAGGCTCTACGTGGATTATCATGTGATCTTCACTTGGAGCTTCGATGATTAGGCGTAACAAAAATAAAAACTAAATTACATGGTTTGTAGATAACGACATATTGTACATAGTGGAGAAGAAAGATTTATTTATTTATTTTCAAATTTGTTATGAATAAAGCTCAATGTGAATTTTGAATAAATAAAATTTCGTTTGGAATGCGTGGATGTAGTAATCTTTGAATAGTACTCAATCTCGTCTTAGGCATAGTCTTGCAAAATTGTAGTCACAAGTGCTTAATGGGTGTTGAGATGTTTAAAACTTGACATGATCCACTTTTTTTTGATTGACTCGATCGGCTTGAACCTATCTAGATGGATATGAAGTCTATCACGGCGCGTGTTTGGTCAATCCTTTTTATTTATTTTTTAAATGCAAACAAAAAAGTGAAAAGCAATCCCAACAAAATTTTACAATTCTACTTGAAGGTTGAAAATTTGAGCATTTGGAGTCTAAGATGCTCTCATTGTAGAGCCCACTTGTAAGAATATTGAGGCCTCTGGTGTATGAACAAAAGTCGAATTTGTTGTTGAAAATAAATAAATTTATTTGCCACAAAGTTTTGACAAGAATAAAAGTTAATTTTTCAAATTGATTAATACATATTGACAAAAGCATTCAATAAATTTTGCTACATTTTTATTTTCAATAAAAAGCTTCAACATATTGTGAATTTCTTAAACATTTTTGAGCATTTTAGCGTGTTAAATAAAATAACATAAATGAGAAAATAGAGTATATTTGAACCCAAAAAAATAACTCAAATTTAGGAAATCAGCTTTAGGTTCTCTTCTTTTTTTATTTTCAAGTAACAACATTTGTATTTGTTGGCTATCAAACCTTCGACCATCTCTCCGAAAGACAATTTTTATTTTACTCTCCCGAATAAAACATGACCATAGGGGGTGAATTGATGTCATATAGAAAGGGGAATGGCTCGACTAACCAACTTAGACAAGCACAAAACATCATGTTTTGCCTTAATCATTAAACACTAAAATATAACAAGAATGAAAATTTTAATGTGGTTCAAACCTGGGCTATAAGTAGGTTTGAGCTAGTTCTACTACAAAATTCATGTATATAATGATGTAACATAAGGCAGAAGGTACCTAGTAATTGACATTTGTGTATTGCATGATTTAAGGAATCCTCATATTCCAAAAGCAACCGGTTTGGGTCCCATATGTTTAACAAAAAAGTTCAAATTGTTGCACAAAAGAAGAACATAGTTTTAATATGGAAGCATTGGAAGGATTGGACATCAAAATCATGTTGTATCCTTCTTTTTTTAATTCTAATACAAATTTGTCACGTTAAATGTACTGAACAAGATTCTTAAATCATAAAAAGTTCGCTAATCATCTTTTCTAAACGAATCGGACATAATCCAAAATTGATCTTTTACAAGATTTTTGAATTCATACATGTTTTTTATATGATTAGCAAGCGTACTCATTTCAAATTTTAGTTCAATCAATTGATCGGCGCCTGCTAACATAATTAAAAAAATTATAGCAATGAAGTATATCAAGGTTTTTAGTATTTAATTCATTTTTTGTGCGTGAATCCTTCCTAACTCGTATTTTTTTTTTAAATAACTTTTCTAATTACTTAAGAAGCTAGACGAGATAAAAACTTATGAAGAAAGTGAACTATATAATACATCTATCAATTCTTTTTATTTAACTCTATACAATTTATCCTATCAAACATAATATATAACACACTTACCATCAAATATCAAGTTGAATTCAAATATTAAAAACCGACAAAAATATAAACTGATATTTCTATATTTATTATAGCAGTAAAATTAATAGCAATTCACCATGAATAATTAAAATAATTAATATATTTCTTTTGAGGATATACAAATGTAATATTTTTGACATGTATATATTAAATTATATTTAGTAGAAGCACATCGAAGGGGTGGTGGCGCAGTTGGCTAGCGCGTAGGTCTCATAGCTACTGAGTGATCCTGAGGTCGAGAGTTCGAGCCTCTCTCACCCCATTACTTTTTAATATTTATATTGTTTTATTCTTTCTTACTTTGATATAATTACTTCTAACTTATTTTCTTCATTTATTTTAATATATATTTGCTTCTGCTTACACCAAAATAATAAGGGTTAAAATATAATATTTTGGTAGATTATTTATTCATGTTTGGCTAAGCTTAAAGAAGCCAAAATACTTTTAAGTAACTTAATGTCTAACTGTGAAAGTAGTTACTTTGACCAATTAAAAATAATAATTCATTTTGAAACTTATTCACTTGTAAGTAAATTTTTAAGCTTTGCAAAACATTACTTGTATGATATGACAAGTTGATTTATTAATTCTACTTAGTATCTAATCTCTGGAACCAATAATTCCTCAAAATTCAGCAGCAACAAGAAGTTAATTGTCTTCTTCACATGAACTAGAACTAGGAAAATTATTGAATTCCAACATCTTGATTCTCATGAAACAGATTTCGTTTATACTAAAGTCAAGATGTCAAATTTTAGTTGAAAAATAATTATAAACTCATTTTCAATCAAACAAAAGTTAGACAACAAAGTTTAGAAAAACCAAGTCGCGTGATTTTCCACCCCCGACAACCCTACTAGGTGGTCTGAGAAACCTGCCAGGTGGGAATTGCGGAAAGGGCAACGGGTGGGGTGGTGGGGGGCAATGGCCGATGGGAGAGCTTAGTCGGATGATAGTGGAAGGTGGATGTAGGTAGTGAATCAAGTTATGAGACAGAGGCAGACCCAAGGTGGGTCCTGGGGGCACGTGCCCCGCCCTCCAACTTTTTTATTTTTTTATATATAAATTTTTGATATCGATTGAAATCTAAATTTTAATCTAAATTAAAGTTAACAATTAATTCTAATAACATATTTAATGAAATCCATAACTATTTAACTCTTATCAAAATTTACTAAAAATTTGATTTTAATCTCCACCAAACAGGGGTAAAATCACAATAAATTTGAATTTTGATAACAAACTAATTTAAATGTAATTTTCTTCATTTTATTAGAAAATTTTATATGGAGTATGACAAAAAAATTTCAAAATTTTACATCGGAAAAAGTCATATCTCGTGTAAATTTTCGGATGCAAAATTATGGCCCTGTCTGGTATCAATTAAATTGGCCAAAATAATTCATTTTCAGAACGTTGCACATCCTTTCAGTCGCAAAAGTTGACCAGCCATCACACATGCGGGCCCCATTAACGGTCAGCTTTTAGATTAAAATTCTGCCAAAATCAGCCACAGACACCCTCTATATGGGATATGATTTTTTTGGACGTAAATTTTCGATTACAAAATTTCTCTCAATTTTTTTGCAAGTTCGATTGTACCCATCTAACTTTAAACTTCTGTGTCCGCCCCTGTTATGAGATGGGGATGGGAGCAATGTGTTTCTTGTGCATTGCACACGACTGTTTGATAGTCTAGTCAAATGGATGGAAATTGTTCACTAGGGACTCGACTGCTACAAAAGTGAAAGGGATCCAACTGCTAAGAGAGGTTGAAAGTCAACAAAATGCAATCCTTGATTGTAGTATTACACATTCTGAACCCTAATGTACATTAGAGGCATCAAATATTAGAAGCATATATTATTAAAATTTACTTAATGACTCTACGAGATCAACACATCAATGACTGAAATGAATTTATTGAATCATTAATCCAACATAGTTCTTCTATCCAAAGAAAAGAGTTCACCAGACGAAAAAGAAAAAGGTTTTACTTCTAATACAAGAGCAACATCAAGATATTAATTCACCAAAAATAATATAAACACAAACAATTGAATGTGCTTTGCCATCCAAGGAAAAAACTCGTACCACGCCTGCAATTAACACGGAAAATCCAATGTCACATTGAAGTTTGAAGACAATTTCAAGAACTTAGAACTTACAACAGTTAAGAGTCCTAAATTTTGAACAAGGGTAACCAAAAATGAGTTTAGCACTTGGGCTTTCGACCTTATATCAATAATTTCCCTTTCCAAAGTACAACTTTGAACAATCCATTGATGAATGGGTGAAGGAAAAAGAAAATGATTTTGATGAAATGGAAGACTAATATAAAAATTGGACTCAGATGATTCGAGCATGTTTGGCTAACCTTAAAATTTCTTATTAGTTACTTTCAGGTTTGTATGTTACCCTTTTGTTACTTTCAAGCAAAAAAGTTATTTATCTTGAAAGTATTTCTTACCTTACTATTAAAATAAGTAGCTTATTATCAACTTTGACACATAATACTCCGAAATGCTTATGGAAGAAATGTCTCCTGGGAAAATCTTAAATCCTTGAATCATCAAAATCTTTTTGTAACAAGAACATTTCCATGATCACAGCAGTTGGGATTCACTCAAAACTTCACCAGACACCGAGTTCTTGAAATATTTAGCATTTAAGTTTGAACAAATAGATTTTTGAATCAGATTCATGGATACTTTAGATCATTCTTTTCAGTCAAGGAAAACCTCCCCCAACCAGCAAAAGAAACAATGAAGACAGATTTAAAAATTAAGTTATACTTAACATCAAAGCAGAAAAGGGAATTCAAAATGAATCAGTTGCATAACTAAGTGTAAATTTTCAGTGAGATACATACTCGATACTGCTGTGAAGGCAAAGCTGAATACCCATCCACTGGAGTTGAAGGGAAGAAATTTCGCCATCCTTTGGTTTTGCAATGGCACAGGGTTCGCATTTCTTCTGATGTGAAGTTCCCATCGTAAAATTATTATGTCCAGACTCATTTCAGATCCTGGCAATCTAGAATAAATATTAAACCTGAGTTATTTCAGCATCTGATCCAGCAATCAGGTAACGACTGTGAATTAGTCAGTTGAACACACTACTTTCTATTGTCCTTTATTCCATGTTGCATTAAGGCTGGACTAAATTCTTCCCTTATGGCCACAGAATTGGCATGGTTCACCATCTATACGGGAAATACCAAGATCCGAAAGTCATCATTTGCTACAAGTTAGCAAATATCATGCATTGGGTACAAGCCCAGCAATTTTGAACAGCTGTGAATTGTGCCTGAAACACTGGTGCACAAGGGGGTATAACCCATAGTTCACCAGTAGTCTCCACAAGAGCATAATCCATCTTTAAAATGATGAAAACGATTCACATCCCTCACAATTATCTCTCGTCCATATATTTTTGAAATGAATTTGATTGCTGTGTGACAGTCTCCACAAATTCTAAGATTCTTGGTAATTCGGAGAACTGTGCCAGGGCTTGTATTGAGAAGCCCAAAGGCAATTGCCAATTTCTCGCTGTGTGTTGTGAGGGTATACACTTTCTCCTCTTCACTGACATCATGCAATGCAAAGCTAGTATCTGGTACATAACCAGCCGCCTTTATCTTCTCAGGCAGTTCCTCCAATAGCCTGTAAATTTCCTGGGATTGTGGATGGGATGTATCTCCTCCAAGAAACAAATGAGCTTTCCCATTGATCTCAATCCAACTGCAACCAGGATTTTTCTTTACGCCCTGTGATTTCAAAAGATCCCTTAAATGATTCACTTCTTCCCACATGCCAGCTTCAGCATACATATTTGAGAGCACAACGTAGTTTCCACTATTATCTGGTTCTAAAACAAACAACTTTTTAGCAGATAACTCAGCTATCTCCAGATTGCGATGACTTCTACTTGCAGCCAGTAAGGAGCCCCAAATGCTTGCGCCTGCTTGCATTGGCATCCGAGACATGAGGTTATAGGCTTTCACTAACTGCCCAGTACGACCCAAAAGATCTACAACACAAGCATAATGTTCATGCCTTGGTTCCACAAAGTGCATTGTACTCATAGAGTCAAAGTATTCTAACCCCACATCCACAAGACCAGAATGACTGCATCCTGATAACAACCCGGTAAATGTAATGCCATCAGGCTGAATCCCAGCTCTTATCATATCCTCAAATGTTGAAACTGCCTCCAAACCATGCCCATGAGAAGCATAAGCAGATATCATTGTATTCCAAGCAACCAAATTCCTGTCATTCAATTTTATTCTATTAAAGCACCATTGTGCATCAGCCAAACTACCGCATTTTGCATACATACCCACGAGCGCCGTTTGCACTGAAGGATGAGAGTCCAAACCCTTCTCCCTAGCAAAAGCATGAATCTTCCTCCCCCGATCAAGTGCAGCTGAGTGTGCACATGCAGGCAAAACACTCATAACTGTCACCCAATTGGGCTTCACCTCTGAGTCATCACTCAATATTTCATCAAACAATCTCAATGCCTCGTCTGCCAACCCATTCTGTGTGTACCCTGAAATCATACTAGTCCACGACACAATATTCTTCTTAGGCATATTCTCAAACAATTCTTTAGCCAAATCAACAACCCCATCTCTCATATACCCCGAAATCAATGTGTTCCAAGATGACACATCTCTAAGAGGCATTACATCAAACAATTTATGCGCATAGCCTAATTCACCACATTTCACATACATATCAATCAATGAAGTCCCTACATATATATCAAACTCCAACCCATCTTTTAAAATCAATCCATGAATGCATTTCCCGAACTGAACATAATACAGGTCCGTAACGGACTTCAAAACAAACGGATAAGTAAAATTATCCCCGCGCAAATTTAAAGAATGCATTCGTGCGTACATGTGTATTGTCTTCTCAGATAATTTATACAAACTAAATGCACGAATAATTGAATTAAACAAAAGGGGAGACGGATTTGCAGTGGCGTGGAAAATGTATGAGGCAGAGGAGATGTCCCCGGAGCTAGCATACATGGCGACCATTTTGGCAGCAAGGAAAGCAGTGGGGCGGAGGCCGCGAATGGCCATGTGAGCGTGCATTTGTTGGCCTTGTTTGAGGAGGTTTTTGCCTGTCAAGAACTGGAAAATGGGTGCATATGTAGAAGCTTGAACTGCGGCTTGGGGTTTGAGAAGGGGTTGTAGAAGGGTGTTTAGCATTGGGCTCTGAGAAATTTGGTTGTTCATTTCACGGACACTTTACAGAGACTGTGTGTGGTGGCGGGTTGGGGGAGGAAGTTGTGGAAGAGCAATGTTTTTGTTCTGCACTTCCAGGCATTCTCAAAACCACTACACAAAACTCGCCGCCATTTTTCGGTTTCTTGAATCTTTAGCACGGTTAGGACTGCACCCCAACCTTTTACATGATGTTGATCAGTTGATGGTGTTAGGGGTCTCTCGAGGTTCACCGTCCCAACTTAAATATATGAATTCAATTTTGTTACGTTGTCAAAAAAGTTTTGCAAAAAAATCGGTATAATCTTATGTGACATTCTATCATTGGATTACTAGGAACACAATCAATTTTTTTCATTCATTCTTTTTTCACCACTTCATCTGTCACCGTGGCATAATCCATATGATTTTGGTCTCCATGTGTTAAAAAATGTCAACATAAATATTAAAATGCAACGTGACTTGAAGTTGGAGAATAAAAATGTCAAACCATTTAAAATGTCTTTCTAATATAAACCATGTATAAACACATTGTTCAAATCAATGCCCAACACACAACTCTTCATCTCACATTCTATGACTACTCCTTCTGAAATGTCCAATTTACTCCTATCCGGGACTTCAATCTTATAGGCTTTCTCAATGGAACCTGTGCTGCTAGTATCTTCATCACTGCTAGCATGTTACAACACTATTTTCACTACTATCAGTACGTATGTCACGTTATCTACATTATCAACATGTTACTTTACTATAACACTACTATAACACTGAGTTGTGCAAACATATGAGCTGCTATAATACATGATATACTCTCTGCATATTATATCTTGAAGAGATTTGATATATATTCACTTTATCGTCATGATTAATTTGAGAGGCAAATGGATCCCAAATTTACTTTGTATGTGTAGTGGATATATTGTAGTGTATTACAGGTTGGTTTAGTCCATATTACAAAGGAGATACTGTCGAAATTTTGACAAATTGTATGCAACATCTTTCGAGACAATATGTAAGCTCTTACTCACTCAGGCTTACATAGATACTTTCGAGGCAATTCGTAAATTCTCATATATTTGAGATTGTAGCATATTCTTGAAACAATTTGTAAGTCATCGCTTATTGGAGCTATTCATATTTTTGAGACAATCTGTAAGACCTCGTCTATTTGACAAGTTGTATTTCAAAGTTTGACCCGCACATGGATGTATGACTAAGACTTGGGGGACCATTATTACGCTCATAATCATTTATATTTTCATGTGTGTGAGCGCGCGTTTCAATCACAATAAGGTATGTTCTCTAATCCTAACAAAATCTTCTCTCGTCTCTTGCACTTATATTTCTCTCATCCGACAATTGATTTAACCGTCGGAGTACAAAAGGTCACTGGAATTTTTTCTCAACCTACGACCTTTGCCTCTTAACGGGATGTTCTAATGTGCAAGTGATGTTTACGTTGAAAGGGCGTGGTTATGATTCTGTTAGCGCATTTTTTGAGGTCAATAGAACCTCTCCTCCCCTAACGAAACTATCAACATTGACACGGTCCAAGCTCAAAACCTTTGTCTGTCTCTTCTTTTCGCTGCATCTTGAACTACCTCCTAAAAATCTTGGACCTGTCTTGATCACATCTTCGTCAAATGGTCTCAATCTCATATTATTCACCTTAACGACAAGCTATCCCAATTAACTTGTGGAACCTAACCAATTGCTGAACACAAAATCAAAATCCTGGTCGATAAATTATCCACCCTTGGTTCGCCCAATGATGCTGACCTATTCATCTATTGTACTTGTGTTTCTTGTCCTCCATACGAGGAAGTTGTCGCAGTGTTGCGTTTTTTTATATCATAAGTGTACGATATCGTAACAAGCAGTATAGTGGACGTTCGAGTTCGGATATCGTTTCCACGAGGGCTATACTTCAGGATTTAATCTAATTTTTCTAACTCTTATTTGATAAAAGCAAGTACTTAATCTGATTTATGATAGTTGTGATTTTTTTTCTAACTACTTTTAATTACTTGATTATTTCAAAATTTTGCAAACAACGGTTGGTTGAAGATTCAAATATGGGATAAATATCAGGGGATAACAATTTCCTCTACTGATCACCTTTAATTCTTAATTCAAGATTCATAATCTATTGTAGTGTTCAATCGAATTCTTCTATTGTAATCAATTTACCTCTCTCGAGTTCTCATTTGGTCTATTTAACTACTTTAATCCTATATCTATATGCGAATCTGCCTTAATTAAACGAAATATTAGTTATAAGAATTCATGTGCTACTAATGTATCGAATTTTACTATATGGTCTAAATCTCAAACTCACCTCTCGATTCGTAAAAGATTCACGAAATCATCAAATTAGTGATCAAGTAATTTAATGTATTAAACTCATAGAAAAATAAACACATGTACGATAAAATAACATGAATCTTGAATAAAAGATATAAGGGGTTTCAATTAGATTACATCGTTCGTCTTAATATAAAATTTAGCTATTCATAATGATGGAAGAAGAAAACAAGAATTTGTTATTGAATACATCACCGGATTTTGAATAAAGATGTAGAAAAAGAAATCAATCTTGCACCAAAATCTTCTTCATCTTCCAATCAATGCTCAAAACTTGAATTCCTTGATGTTTCCTCCTTTGAATTGTGCTATTCAATCTCTAGTTATATCCTTATTTTCCTAATGTGTGGAACTTTATAAAAGTGACTCATTTCTTCTATTTATACTCCCTTACACGTTCTCCCCAAATCTGCATCGCTGTTCCAAACCCTACGTCTTCTTCAATATTTTTATCATAATTTTTTCTTCCGATATTTGATTAAGTCGGTTCAAAATGCGTTGGAAAAATAACTCAAAGGGATACAACTTTTCTAGAAATAACTATTTTTTAATTTGAAAGTTTACTGGGCCAAAAATGGATTTCAATCTCCAACTAAAAATCTGGACATCCTTGTGTGTTTGAAAATTGATTTGTGAAAATATTTTGGTCATATTTTTACTCCTTTTGAATTTTAATTGTATTCAATTGACCCCTATCATTCTCAAATCTTCATCGTGAGCTCTGACACAACTTTTGAGTATATTTACTTTATCCCCCAAAATTTGTATCTTGTCATTTTTTGCCATTTCTTTCAATTTTTCACTTCCATTCATCGAATTTCTCCTAATAACACATTATATAATAAATGAGGCTATAATTCAATCAAAAAAAATTATAGAATGTCAATTTTTTAGATTCCGAATAAGTGTATAAAATACACTTATCACGCAGCGCTTCATATCGGAGATTACTCCGTTTCCTTTTAGAAGTTGTTCGAAAAACTCATTGATCACGAGACATACCTTCTTTACACCGAGTCATGCCTATCAATCGAACTCCATCTATTCACGATACTCAGTCCGCTCTTTCGGATCGTAGACAATCTAATAGTTATAGCTCGAACTCCAATGGCTCTCAACCTCAGTGACTATGCCCCTTTCAGCTGACCCTTCCACAACCAACTATCCCTTCTTCGCATTCTTATGATCCTTCTCGTGATGCCTCATCTCATTTGTTATCTGCCACTCATTTGTCGGTAACGGAATTGTTAACTCTAAAGCCTCACACCACATTATCTTCAGTGTCCCCAATCTTGCACTTCATCAAGAATATAAGGTTCCCAAAGATATTAGTCTTGGAAATGGTACTAGTCTTTCTATCTCCCGTATCGGTTCCTCCCCACTATCCCCTGACTTTGTTCTCTCGAATGTACATTGTTCTCCTCTTATTTCAATTGTCATTCTTGTTTCAATAATAAGAGCCATCGATTCTCCTTTGGTGATTCTAGTGTTAGAAGTCGAGGTCCTCTCGACATCCTCTACACATATTTTTGGGTTCGCGGGCGTCTACACCATAGAGATGGATTTTGTTATTACTTATTATTGTTGATCACTTTACGAAATTTATATTGCTATTTCTACTTCATTTGAAATCTAATGTTACTACCTTAATTCCAATTTTTAAGAAGCAAGCTGAAACCTACTTCAATGCAAAAATATGTACCCTGTATTTTGATGGTGGTGGTGAGTTCCATACTCTTCATTCTATACTTGAATCCTGTGGTATAAGACATCTTAAATCCTCCCATACACACCACAACTGATCTGCAGAACGATGCCACTGTCAAATAGTTGAAATTAGAGTGACTCTACTTCATCAAGTCTCTCTTTCCTCCAAATTTCGATCCTACACCTTCGCCACTGCCTCACCTCCCGCATATATAATATTCAGCACTCTTTAATGAAATAAATAAATAAATAAATCTACAGTGATCAATATTATCAATATGTCAAACCTTTAAAACGTAAACAACCAATCCATATATATAAAAAATCAATTAAAATTTAGTATTTTTTGTCATAAAATCTTGTAAAATTTAATTAAAAATTGATCTTTTTCATTAAAAAAAAAAGTGGATAAACAAAGAAAAGAAAGAGAAAAGTGTTAAAAAAAATTAATTACAATTTGATTTTTTTGGGTTGAAAATAGGGAGAACGATGATGAAAAATTAAATAGAGAGAAGAAAAGGAAAAGATTACAAATATAAGAAAACAAAAAATATTATTTTTTTAAATAGTGACTCTAGAATTCGTAGAAAGAAAGAGTAAAGAGAAATATTAAAATGACAAAAAAAATACATTTAAAGACTTTTTTGCCCTTTTGTGAAATCTCCCAAAATCTTGAGGGTGAATGAGAGACAAATTACTGAACATGTTTGAGCCCCCCCCTTTTTTTTTTCAAAATGCATTTTGGATTAATATATTGATGGAGAATGTGTAGTTAGAAAATAAGAATTTTTTTTCGATTTGCGTATAATATTATTTTATTAAAGAATGTGCGATTGAAAATAAGAGAGAAAAAATGTATTTTGAAAATAATGGGGGACCAAACAAAGGATAAAATTTTATTTTTTTAATTT